CGTTACTAAGAGCATTGTCGGGGAAAGCTGATACTTTTACCATTAGCATTATTCAGCTTTGCTCAGCCTCTGTGACCTGACAACAAGCTACAAGGTGCTGATCAAAGCCACTGTGGAACGCAATGCCACAGGCACAGAAATAGAAACTACATTGCAGTGGATATAAGCAGCAGCTTTTGTGTATTCTGGCCTCCTTTAAAACCTCCTCCTGCAAGTGTGGATGATCTTACTGTGAAACTGCTTGGCTGCATCCTGCCTGCACTCTGTAGAGTAAAATGAAAACATTTGCTTCTAAAAAGCACACCACAGGGACATCGATACCATGCCAAACCTTACTACAATAGCAAAGGAGCAGTGGTTGTGTGTCTATGTGGGTTTTTATCAAGGAAGCCAGACAAGGTTACATACAATGGAACAGCTGTCTCTACATGGCAGGAATAAACGATGTCACATAGTGTTGGTCTTATATATGGACTCTAGTCCAGCATGTGAAGACAAAGGCATTCTTCTGACCTTGTGATGGTGTTGCTAATTCTAAGCCTTTCTTATCATCTTAGTACTGCTGTTGAGCCTGAATTTCAGTGTCAAGCTCATCGCTGCAAGACACATGTCCATAAAGGAACTGGCAGGTGTTTTTTTTTTAATTTAAATAAATAAAAACAATTCAGGAAAACTGAGAAAAAAACATAACCAATATATTTGTTTCCACACAGTGACAGGTCAGGAGAGTTTGCAGACTCTCCAACAGGCCAACAGGTTCTGGCTACTTCAAGATGAAAGACCGGAGATGGTCTAATTGGAGATGAGTGAGCAGCAGCTGTAGCACTTTGTTAGCTGAACACTCATCAAAAAAATGGGTGGCTACATCCCCTTCCAGACCAGTTGTTTTAGGGATTGAGTATAGTGCACACGTTCATCTAAGGAGGAATGAACTCTTTCAGACTTCCAAGTCAAAAAGACTTTTCTTTTATATTTAAAGATACAAAGAAACATGTCATTACAGAGGTATCCTGTATTTGCACATAGGTTATTTTGTCTTATTTTTTCTCTGTCTTTCTCTTTCATTGTGGTTCTGTAGATATGTGTCACACCATGGCTAAGGCTGAGTGGAAACCTGACAACAGTTTGGTGGAAACCTGACAACATCCCTTCCACTCCGAATATACTGCAAGGGCTCTCATCTTGTCACTGGAAAAGTCTGTTCGCGCATCTAAGTTTCTTGAATTCTTTGTTCTATCTGATCTTCTTAACAATGAATTCAGTAGATAAAATGATAATGTTTTCTGATGTTGCATAAAGGAAATGAGGAACAAAATAACTAGACATTTGTTTTAGAAAAAAAAACTTTTAAGTGGTTAAAATTGATTTATTAGACTGTATCTATTTCTCATTTGGGAATTTCCCATTTCTAAAGGATCTTAATGTATTGTTTAACTTCATTAATATCGCTCGTGGCATACGAGAACAGATCACAAACAGGAAGACTTAACTCAGGACATCTTGCTCATTTGATATCTGGTAGCTTATTGATCTGGGGATCAATCCAGCAATGACTTGAAGGATCGTGGGAAATCTGCTTTCACAGCATGAACGAGCTGTTTGTTTGAACTATCCACAATCTCTTGCATAAGGACGCGCTTCCTGAATTCAGTCCTAGAAGTCTTTACTAAGCGAGAAAAGAACAATAATACAGACAGTCTTACAGGCAGCAATGTGATGGTAACAGTAACTGGAATTAAGAAAGGTTAATTAACAGTGATGGAGAAAAGATTGAACAATTCCCTGCATTAATTAACTGCTAACTCCTCTGGCCAGACTCTAAACAGGTAAATTGTTTTGAGTTCTGTCTCACAGTAAGGACATCTTTCATTTGGGCTCTTATGCCAGCTTAGTGTCCCAGGTCCTAATTTAACATCTCTCAAGACGAACCCTTCCTCATGCGGTACGATTTCATGTAATCAGACATTAACCATGCTTCCTGTATCCTGCAGTAAGCTTTTTGTTATTTCCTTGTTTTGTATTCACTAGAAACTTTGTAGCTCACTTGAATGTATGTTTAGCATAAAAGTAAGTTTGATAAGGTTTTCCCAGGACAGATTTTTCAGAGATCTCAGGATCATATTTTGATATTCACTCAGTTGCAATATTGCTCAGTATGGGCTGTGCACCAGCTTCTGGCATGAAAGGGACTCTTGTTGTCTCTAAACAAACTACCACCTTCAAACCAGTTTGACAATGAAAACAGGAACAATGTTGAAATATGAGAAACTGTGTTGTTTGAAAATTCTTCAGTGTCAACTTTAAATGCACCAATTAGAAAAGGAAACCTTTAATTTCATTAACTGCTGCAACTGATGGTGCCAAGCTAGTCCTGAGTGTATCAAACAAATGAATGTTTAGATAAAGGGTTTGTATATTATAGCTGTCATTTTTAATTTTCTATTGTTATGCATACCTTCTTGTTTAACAGTGACAATTTTATAAATATGCAATGTGCATGATTTAACATTCATTTTTTGTTTTGAGTTGTTTGATTTTGTTTTCTGGCAAATGTAGATACACTGACTACAACAATTAATATCTGAAAACTACAAAGCCATCATTTTCCTGAAATATATTTCTGCAGAATTTAAACGTTTCAAAGAAAAACCTACTGATTTACATTTTGAATTGACTCGCAACACTAGATACGAATGAATTTAAACATTCTGCTTCAGGAACTTCCTGAATACTTGCTGTCAATTAATTGCTGTTTGGAAAATTCAATTTTTTTATGTTGCTATGAAACTCTAGTGCAGACAACAAATGCATGAGATCAAGCCCCTGAGGTAGTCCTGGAGACATTATATTTTCATGATGCTAGAGTTTCTTGAAGATTTTCAGTAGTTGCCCGTTAGCCTTCCAGACCACTTTTCCACATCCAGGTTAACTCTTCATAAGTCCTGTTCCATGTTGAGCAGCACCAGTGCACTTTGCCTTGAATTTCTTGATGGTGAGCACCACAATTAAACCTGGGTTATCTTTTCTCTATTTTAGATTTGCCTTCACTAGAGTGACTGGGGTCAGCAATTTTCCACCCGAGATCCTTGGACATTCCTGGCTCCCCGCATATTGATATGATAACGTTTAGCTTCTGTGTTAAACCTCATTTAATACTCGGTGACGATCATGGTGATTTCTTCTATAAATCTCTCCTGAGGTTTTGTGAAAGCACCTGATGTTGAGAAAATGTTATTAAATGTATTATTTATTTTCCACGTATTTACTGTACAGGGCATGGTTATTATTCTGATGTTAATTCAAAAAAGATCCCTTGAGAGATGACAGCTTGCGATGCACTTGAAGAAAAATGCTCCTGCTCATATTGCCCTTTTGTACTACTCATTAGCTCCTGAGGATGAAATAACAAGGGTTGTCGAATAAACAACAAACAATGTGCAATGTGTGCTTATGGGTCTGCAAATGCAAAGGTGATGATAGCCTGTGCGACAGGCAGACAGAAGTGCCAGACTCGATCATGCTGGAAAGACGCTGTTGCTCAGCGAAAGAGACAGGGATCACTCCTCCGGAAATGCTGCTAACCCTGAAGAGGCTGTATCAGTCTGTCCACTGCCACTAGACCCCAACAATGCTCCCGAATTAAATAAATCACCCATAATCAACCTCTTGATGGACTGAGACACAGCCCAGTGATTGCAACCGGGACTGTTAGATTCAGAAGGAACACCAGAGGTGCAGCTTGTGCATAGCAAGACCAAGGCCTATATGTTCAGCAGGCAACCTTACCCACAGCAACGGCATGATTCGACACCACCTGGCTGCGTGACCGATCTTTGCAGAGCACCATGGGCGACAACCCTCATGAATACTGGAAGAAAATTCGTGGCTCCCATAAATCATTAGTGTGTCATCTGGTGAGGGGAGGGAATAAACAATAAAAGAAATGTTCATTGAAGTTCACATAAGGAATGCACCTGGTTTTTGGTGTGGGGGCCCATGAATGCCCCTTTTCCGGGAGTCAGCCTGATGCTGTTACCTACATGCTTCAAACTGGGGCAAACTTCACGTCCAGCCTGCTTCTGTGCTGGATCCTAAGCCAATTCAGAGCAAGATACAGGACATCCAAAAGATGCTGGATGCTTCTATATGTTTTGTAGTTTTCTATATCAATATTTTTAAACAGTTTATTTTTTTAATTTAAATAATGCAACAAGTACTGAAGATTCTGCAACCTATGAATTAAATCAATTCTTAAAGTATGAACTTCAGCCTGTATCTGCTACTATATGAGGGCTCTGTCCTTAGTTCCTCACTCTCTACTTCTGCTGCTATATAGTTTTTTATTTTAAAATAGTGTGTAACATATACAAACAATAATAGATTGTTGTATATTAGTAAACATATTTTTATATATTATTATACAATTTTCAAATATAGAATTATGAAAGTATCATAGTATATATTATATGTTACTATTCTATATATACTGGAGAACAGTTGTGGTTTAGGTATTGTTGTGAGATAGTTCTCATCTATTTTATCTGTTGTTTTCATGAGGGATGATGCTGCAGGACGCTACCATGTAGAGCATGCATACGTGTTCCGTGCACACGTGTGTGGACCGACTGCGAGCAGGCAGAGCAGCACAGGACTGGGGGGCCCTGAAACACGAGCCTGGCTGGAAGGCAAACCTGGTTCTGAGGGAAAATGGTCTGACATTCAACTAAAAAAACAAACGAAAGTGCAAATGAATAAACCGTCCAAAAACATTGTGCTCTAGATGGTCAGTTTATATCTTAGCAGTCGCAAATCGTAGAGGCAATAAAAATATCCACAGTTCTTAAAAACACCTGGTCTGGAGCAACACCAACAAAATAAAGTTGTATGCACATTTCGCAATACAGGCTGTCAGGTATGACGTGTCTGCTTTCACAGGGATTGTGCTAGCTTTAGTATGTGAACTCATGCGGGTGTTAAGAGCAGGATTTTCTAAACAGCTCTGAAGATTGTACAGAAGAATTTATTTTCCTGGCATCTGAACATAACCCAAATTTCAGAACGTTGATCTATATAACTTGGAAACAACATAATTCAGACCAGGAGGTCAATATCTTTAAGTGTATACTGTAGCATGTCTGGATGAGATTATCAGGGTGAACGGTCCTATGTTACAAGTCTTTTTCATAGCTTTGTTGCTTGTAGTGACACTGACATCTGCACATAAAAATTATATATATATTTATATATATATTTATCATTCGCTATTAACATTGTAGTCTAAGATGATTTACGATTTTTTAAAACGTGAATTCAAACAGTAGTAGCCACCTGTCTGACAGAATGCTTCTCTTTTTAGACATTGAAAATCCTTAACTAACAACACACACCCAGCTAATATAGAGACAGGGATTTTGTACATCTTTGGAGGGAATTAAGCTCTCAAAGATTTTGCCCTCCTGGTTATGTTTCAGTATATCTCTAGATATAGCTTAATTCCATTGAAACACATTTAGAAAAAAAGCATTTACAAACTGGCATCAGGAGAACATATAACTAACCATTGAATGTAAACTAGAGTTCTAAATTACAGTATCTCCAGGCTGATACTAGAGATAATGTAGTTTGGCACATTTTTAATCCTCTTTTAATATAAGCACAGATAACTGAGATACTAGTGGAACAGACAGGTTTTATGCAAATATGGATGACAAACAAAGTTGAATTTATTATCTTATAACACTGTACCATCATAAATAAAAACCTGGTATAAGTGAAAACCCCAAAAAAAATCTATTTCAAATATCTACATCTAAAATTTTTAGGCAGTGAAAAAGCACTTCATTGACAAGGAGTGTGGAATGATGTTCTGTTAACTGTCCTTAAACGTTTGTTTAGTTGCCACAAACAAATTCACATTATCAGAACGAACAATACTGCTAAATATGTCCTTCTTGCTGTTAAAAGTACTTTTAAGGAAAGGAAATATTCGTAACTCGTACGTTTTTCCAATTTTTTAAAATCGGAAAACAATATTAATGGCCACTGAAGAAGGGACACAGTGGCATCTGTGTAATAATATACACAATGCACTTGTATCTCTGTAATGTACATCAAATACTTTACAACAAAGCATCGAAAAAAGTGATAAAAACTGATAAAAAATTAAAAGTAAAAGAGAAAAGGCCGGAAGCATCTTCTTGCACAGAAGAAACCCCTTAAATGCAAGTTGAAGCCATGATTCACGATGAGGTGAAGATAATAAACAAAACATGGAAAGCTGTTCCCTTAACTCCTGTAAATAACAGTTCATTTGTTTTGTGCTTGACATACTCATCTTTCTACTGTCCCACATATTTACAGTCTCTTTCCATCTTCGACATCCCAGACGCCCTCCCTGACATTCTGTCCCGACGCGAAAGGTCACGGCTCCCGCTGTACCCCCCGAACGAGCCCCCTCTGTCGCCTGTCCTCTGACCCACACTCTGCCTCTGCTCGGGCCCCCGGCCCCCCTCCCGCCCTGCCCCCACCACCGCCACACGCTTCGACACACCCTTCCTACGGAACGAGCTTGGACAAACTAAACTGGCTGAAGAATGTCTCGTGGTACACATGCACATGCACGGCTCTCCCGTCTGCAACCGAGACCGCTGCCGGCCGGAGCCTCTACACCCAGGAGTCGGGTGAGGCGGGATAGTGGCTCGTCTCGTAGTTGAGTTCACTGTAGGGACGAGCTGCCGAGTAAAAGTCCACGTAGTTGCCAGTCGACTTCAGTCCCAGGTGCATATTGTAGTCTGTGGCCGGCGGAGGACGGTGGTGCACTTGGTCTTCAAAGAACGAGTCTTCAAAGTTCCTGGTGGAGTTCTGAAATGGTGGGAATGTCTCGTAGTCTTTCCTGCTGCTTTCCTGTGGCACAGGCTGGGAAGAGACCTGCGAGAGAGAAGGAGAGAGAGAGAGACAGGGAGGGAAAGCTTTAAGGGAAAGTCCTGGGCCCGTGCTCAGTCCACAGACCCTCCCTGTCCCCCACGACAGGAAAAAAGAGCTAAAAATAGAAAATACGTGGAACACACTGGGTGCCACATTGCCCCTGTTTTAAATTTGCATACTGCATGTCTTGTCCTTATGTAACACTGCAGGGTCCTGCAGTTCCATTACTCAGCTTGGTAAGACAAAATGTAAATGAGAAAAAAACCTGAAACAAGGTAGAACAATCAAATGGGCAGACGGTGTGCTTGAGAGACAGAAAATCCAACCTCACCTATCTCTTAAGGTACAGACTGATGTCTCCAGACCCCACTATTACTTTTAATTAAAAAGGAAATTAGCATGTTAATTGAACAATGGGGTTAATAGACACATGCTGCCTGGTCACAGACAGCAGATTATCTGACAGATTGGCACTGAGCAGAAAACAGCCACCTGCTATTCTCTGTAGCCTCTGAAATGTGAGCCTGTTGAGTGATTATTATTATACCCCACGGTTAAAGAGATTTTCTACTAACACACAATCTAAATCTAGAACAATTATTTAGGCAGTACTGTGTGTTTTTAAAGTTAAAAGATTTTTTATCAGTCCTGTAACAAAAATACTGTCTTTAAAGTGAACCAACCTGTCCTAGAATCTACTAATCTACTATACTGCATAATAGAAGAAGGTGCCTTTCATTTCTTACATGTTGACCAAATGCATACTAAGTACAAATAAGATAAATGGGCTGTGTAATGTGCTCCTTTGAGCAGTGCCACTTGAAAGCACTGAGCATTTCATTACTGAAGCAGCAGAATTTGGAGCACAATGACAGGAGGTGAGAAATGGAAGACAAAGGCTCAGTTAAGGCCCCATAAGCACTGTCTTCGCGGCAGAACAAGGCAGACGTGTGAGCTTTTCATTGCGCTGTCTTTCCCCTGTCTGCAGGGACAAGCGGGCAATCTACCAGGGCACTGCGAGCAGTATGCGCCGTCCTTCTTCGGTACAGAACATCAGAGAAAACCCCTGTGTCGTCTGAGAAAAGCTGGAAGAGACTCTTCCTTGGGATTCTGGCAATGTGCAGCACAGTAAGAGCTGGCACGGCCAACTTCAGGAGCCACACGAGAATCAATCACGAGTTATGCAAGGACAAGCGCAGTGCCGATGTGTGAGAATCATGAGCAAATATTGGGAAGAAGCTAATTCTTTAACCTCTACTGTGTAGCCAGCTATTGCAACAGAAAACACACTATTTAGAGGCTGGCAGACCATGCCTGAGTCTTCTTAAGAGTCGCCATATGACTGCCGGCATTGCCTTCCTTAGCACAGGAGGTTTTCTGTGTCTTACGACATTTAAGAGCATCGAGACTGCAAAACCCAGAGTGGTCTGACATTTAAACACAATATTAAAAGCTGAGATGTTAAAGTCAAGACTCACAGAGTCGTAAGCAACAGCCACAACAGCTGTGTCAGTGGAGCAGAGCTCCGAGGAATGGAGGGAGGCCTGTGGTGTAGCTTATGAGGCCCTTGTGAGACACTTGCAGGAAATGTACCAAGCCGGAGTCAACCTTTACTGAGCCCAGACACAGTCTTTCTTGGTTCTGTTCACAAACAGTGTCTGAGCATGGAATTCCTGATTCAATGAATGACTTATCTTATTAGAGACTTGGATGATATGATTTTAATCATTCATTATCTGGAGAGGCTGTGCAGACATTTGCTGCCAGCGGTGGGGCTGTTTGTTTATGCAGCACCCAGACGACAACGCAGCAGAAAACATCATCACGCCCGATGATTATTCACCTCACACGGAAATGACGCAAAAACCAAAGTCCTAGAGCAGCCTAGAGCTCCCGACTGTCCCACTATTCCACAGGCGCTCTAAGCTCACAGCTCAGCAGTGTGAGCACAAGTTACAGGAAGAGCAGCAGAGGTGTCTCCTCCTACAGAGGTTGGGCTCCGAACAGTGTGAGCTAAAAGGCTGTGATTACTCTCCTGCCCAGTTCAATCCCCGGTCGTGCTTCCAGAACAGACTGCAGCGGAGTTAATTCACCAAAAGAGCTTAGCTTCACTGTGAATACTCTGTGCTGTTACAGTACACACTGTAGGGATCTCACAAACTGTTTGCAGGCTTTTCCTGCATTTAAAAAAATCAGAAATCTAACCTTAGTGACTGTGGGTCACTGTTGTGGAGGCATATGACTGTAATATTGAATCCATCTACTTAGTTACCACCAATTAATATCACTCACACCACTGGCAAGAAAGCAATGCAATTAAATGTCATTGACTCTTGGTATCTTCCTTTTACATATAAATCAAGAGAAGACTATGAATGCACTGCTGCAGAAACTTTCTGCAGAAAGGCAGAAAATAATTGGTTACTGGCTGTTGGTTGATAACCTTTAAAAATACCTTGCAGGAAACTTTGTTAAGAATTGATTAAAAACTAAGACACAAAAGTCCACCAGTGCTTAAATTTAGAGTAAGTCTCTTTAAAACCAGATTGGGCTACATTTTTCAGTGCCCTGAGGAAATAGTTACTTTGTAAGGAAGTGCTTATTTAGATAACAGAAAGGTTAACTTCAAAACAAATATGGGAATAGGGTACTGAAAACTGTCATTGTATTTCTCACTTGTTACCTTTTTAAATGCTTACTGAAGCTCTGGATTTGCTAGGAAGGTGTTAAACTAATAATTTATTTGTTATTTTTTACTGCACAACTTACAGTAGCTACTATAAAGTGCAGTGTAGTCATTTAAACACCACAGTAGTTGTTGAGTCCTATTAAATCAATCTTCACCAGATTATAGCCACATTTTTTTTCCTTGTTAATGCAATATGTACTGTAGCACACAATGCACTAAACTAAGTTACAATTAAAAATATCTAATTTGTTGATATTTTACCAGTAGGGGGGAAATCAGTCTGTAACTAAATCAAATTAAACAAATTCAAAACCCCCCAAAACCCCTAATCTATTTGCGGGTGTCACATACCTGGTTATGTTTGATGTCTTCGTCAGGGGTAACATAAGAGTTTCGGAACAACGTTGAGGTTCCACTTGAGATTTGAACTAGAGAACAGAAGCAGAGGGAGGCCAGGTGGGTACATGGGGTGGCATTCAGGTGCTTGGGAGGAACTGCTTGTAAAAAACAATCATTGAAGATGATGCCATGCGGCACACAGAGAACAGCAAAATGCCTTATATCTATAGTTGAAAACACAGAGGAAATAAGCATGCCGGTCTCACAGATTGAAAACTTGTAAAGGACAGTGGGATTAAAATAACTACATGAATTATCAGTGCAAGAGTGAGACATTTCCAAAGGACACAGGCATTTTCTTAAAGAAACACAGGTTGCTTAAATGCAAGAATGCATCTTTTATTTTCAACAGTCAAAGGTGATGGTATCCATGGCCCTTGAGTAGCTAGGCTACTGAGTTTTGACATTGTTGGCCTAGCCTGACCCTCATCTCACAATAAAGAAAATGTACTTGTGTAGCAGAGAAGAGAATTTAACATTGCAACCTCTTGGGGAGTCCCTGTGGTGTAGTGAATTCACCCAGCCCCCAGCTGACCCAGACTTTTTGAGAGGGTCTCTTGCAGAAACAGGCCAGATGACTGGAATTGATCTTTAGCTCATCTTACCCATGATCTCATATACTGGCTGGGAGAGACGCACATTAACAAGAGCTTTCTGCAGCAGCTTGCAGCATTTAAGTGGTACACATGCCCCGAGAAACTGACCTTAAGTTTTTAATGGTTTCATTATTCAGTTTCCTAATCTACATGAGGTATCTCAATGAAATGGACTTTGCAGGGTGAAGCAAGTCATCGACTGGAATGCTGCTCATAACTCCAGCGTGAGCCTCTTTGAACTCAGTCTGTCTTACCTGTTGTCTAACCTGTATAGCACTTCATCACTGGTGTGACGCTGCGGAAGTGCAGTACAATCTCTAGTTCCAACTCTTCCGATCAAACTCCAGTTTTCAGCAATTCAATGTATTGAATTGAAATTCATTCTGCTGTTTACTTTCTATTGCATCTAATTTACACAGCTAAGCTTTTAAATGATACAAAGGGGAAAATGTGACTATGACAAAGGCACTGGAACCTTTTCTCCAAGTACCTCCTCCAGTTCAGAGATGCTTCTTTACTCAGTGGGCTGTGGGAGCTGGAACAAGCTGCCCAGCCATGTCCTTGAAGCTGATGTCTTTTTTTTTTTTCAATAAAGATCTGGATGATCGATGAGCTACTAACTACCAAATGGACCAGAGGCATGAATGGGCTCCTGGGCTCCTCTTGTTTGGAACTGTTCTTGTGTTCTTACTGAGGACAGGAAGTGCTTCTTAGTTATCATGTTGAGGTGGAGTCAAGATGTGAGATGTGTCAAGCCCTAAGAGCTAGTGTCCCCCGTGCCCAGTGTAGATAGGAGGTCAAGGCAGGGAGTGTGTGGGAACTGTGGAAGCTAAACATTAACAGTATGATCTGAATGGACACTTAGGTGACCCAAGTGTTGCCTAGTTCAATACAACTAAGTTTCTGCAAACAGTTACCCTTCTTCGTCATCAGTGGTGTTAAAAATAACTCCTTCCCAAGTAAATAGAAGCAAGTTCAGTTTTAATTTTATTCCCTTTGATGAAGAAAATGAGACATAAAAAGTAACTGTTCCTCTACATTCTAAAGCTGTTGCAATTAAAAAAATATAATTAAAACAGGCTTTCAAATTAAAGTGGCAAATAAGCCTGCAGATTAATTTTTACTGCTCTGAAACAAAGGAAGATGAAGTGATTGTGCAGAAAAAAGAAGCAACAACAACAGCGCTCCTTCCTACCTGTCATGGTGTCTTTCCTGGATGTGTGTTCCCCTTTGTTTCCATGGAAACTTGCATTTGTTCCAGTCGACTCGTAGTCCGTCTTCCTTTCCTTGAGGCTGATCATCTCTCGAGGTGAGGCAGGGGCACTTGCTACAGACAAGGAAATCATCCATATAATTCACAATAAGAATCTGGCATTTTTGACAGCGGCAGCAATTCTGGTTTGACTTCTTGGACGCACTCCCCGGTGTATAAAAAACCCATTACTCTTTTATCTGTTATCGGATCTTCTTGATTCCTCTCCACGACCAGCTTCAGAGTAAATAACGAAAGATAAGGCTGTGAGGAAAGTCTTTGTTTACCGTCCATCACTTTCAGCACACAAGCATTAGATCTGCAGAATACGAAGGTAACGAGGTCAAATGTTTTAAAATTGTGCTAAAAAAAACAAACAATTGCTTTGTTCAGGAATTGAAAATGTGTTTGGTGTTTCCACTTACTCTGGTATTAGATTATTACTCATCTCTCTGTTTTACACAACTTATATTCAAGTTCTGATTTATTCCACGGCTCCCAAGTAACTTAACTAGTGGAGGTATTTATTTGGAAAGCAGGGCGAGGCCACGAGTCCAGACTTCCCCGAGTTCTTTCGGGCAGTGTCAGCAGCCAGCAGGGACTGACCTGTGCCAGTGGCAGCACATGGTTATGAAAGAGCCACAGGAGGTGGGGGTGAGCCAGAGTTCTGCAAGGCGTCTGCGGCTGGCTCGGCTCGTTTGAGCCCTTCAGCATTCCAGGTGTTCCCCTGCCTTCAGTGTTGTCGAGAGGAGCTGCCTCACCCCTCCAGGTGACGTGATGCAGCTCTCACCGATAACGCCGAAGATACCGTGGGACTGACGTGAATAAAGAACTGATGGTGTTGACTGAACATGTTTGCAAACAAGGACTGAGAAATAGCTCTCTGCCCCCCCCCCCCAATGCCCCCAGTAATTATGCATCCATGCAGCGCCTATAGAGTATTGGTATTAGAATTGGTATCCTGTCACAGAACAGTGGCAGCTGTGGGGAATTCCTCAGAAGACGCCACATGATCATGTGTGGCGTCATCTGTTCTTCGCAGTGATTTCATCTGCTGGGCTTGATAGACATAACCCAGTTTCTTCCAGACAGATGCAGAGAAAACTCCCACATGCTTTGGCATTCTCACAGTCAGATTATTGGAATGCTTTGCTTTCTTTCTCTGACCACTTTCCAAATGCCTTAATACACGGCACCTGCTGAAGGCCAAGATACCTTGGCCACCGATTGTGTTACATTCTAATCACTGGTCTGACACAGCTTTTGCTCATGGTATTTGCTTTACAAACAGGGCAGTAATGGCAGGGTCAGTATTTTCACAGCTGCACATTTTATTCTGCAACAGTGTTGTACAATATGTCTTGTACAGCGTATTGTTTTCATTGGCTTTAATCTACCCATTTATGTACGTATCGTAACTATTGTTCCTTTCACATTCTGATTAACGCACATGGAAAATACTACATACCGTCAAAACCATCAGTCTAAAGAGCATTTGCATTTCTACCAATATAAACAGATTAAACAGACCAACCGTTATTACAGCCTGATTAATCTGTGCAGTAGTGCTAATATTTCTTCCACAGGGTACATGTGTTATGCATTTCATATAATAATGTTAATAATAATAATTCTTTATTAGCCCTTTACAATTTCTTGCATTAGGAATTCATCTTTTCACATACCCCAGCTTTTCTCCATGGAGACACAGACAGGGAGAGAAGCTTGGGGTCAGAGTGCAGGGTCTGCCATTGTACGGCACCCCTGGAGCAGTTGGGGTTAAGGGCCTTGCTCAGGGGCCGAACAGAGTAGGATTGCTCTGCTGGCCGCAGGATTTGAACCAGCAACCTTCCAGGCACAGGCGCAGATCCTTAGCCACAGATCCACCGTTCCAGCCTGCGTGGATATTTGCATTGCGTTATGTACATAGATCTTTTTAAATCACCAGCACTCTGGTACATCGAGCAAAGGACACAGGAAATACCCACAGTTGATGATTTACAAAGGTAAAAGGGATTGGCAGCCCAGCCAGCGGTCGCACTGTTCTTCTGTGGAGGCTAGACTGGCTCCTGACTTTCTCAGAGTGAACAGGCATTTGTGGAGTCTGACATATCTGACAGAAAGGCAGATAACCCAGCTCAGTGCTCAATGGGCCTTTTTCTCAGCACTCATTAGCTATTAGACCTCGGGCTAATCACAGGTTCACCCTTAACTGTGTCATCCTTGCTGCTGCTATGACAGAGACAAGTCAAACACGATGCACCCTGAACCTTTGGAAACCGAACAGTAGTTTTCATTAGTTCTGGACACATACTGTATGAACTGACTCCCAGGGCGTCTCAGCACCATCCTCTAGCTCATATTTTTAGTACCTATGCAAATTAGTTTGCTAATAAATTGTATTTGTACTTTTCCTCACTGGTACTAGCACATTTAAGAAGAAACGTATGCACTCAAGATAGCATTGAAGCAGTTTTCCCCTAATTTCACTTTCTTTCTTTGTACTTGTTAATGCATGTCATTTGGGATGCTACTCTTCACCACATGTTGCTGTTTTTCTGTAGTTCAGAATCTTTTCATTAATAGAAATACTAGAAGGCCTATAGTGGTCGGTCTTATTTAGAGAAATCTAGCTTGGAAAGCTATGTTAAGTATCATTTTAAAGAGTGAAATAAATGCAGTGTTTCATTCCACATTAAGGTGTTTTTGTCCCTTGAAGCAGGATGGAAAATAAGAGAAGAGAACTAGAAGCTCACTGATAAAACAGTTCAAGGAATGATGTAGTGTATGCTATAATACCACTATCATTTATCAGAGCTGGACTCTTATGGGGGCTTCATATTTTGGGTCAAATAGCAAGAACAGCATCTATGTTTGGACTTAAAGATCAAATAACTGCCCAGTGGAAGACAGGGTAGGTCTTTTTTGACTAACAGTTAAGTGTCTGTCCTGGACTGAACTGTCACAGAGCCCTGTGCATATCTCTGCTCTGGCCTGAAGTCCCAAACAGCTCCACCTGAAGAGTCACAGAGCACTGTGACCTCATGGAGAGTCCAGCATGAAGACATCCATGCAAATCCTTTGATTGTTTGGGTCTTAAAGGACAGCACTGTTGTTTTATAATGGTGCGGATCTCCGGGCACTTTCAGTTTTAACCTCAATGTGTCTTACAGTACTAGTGAAATAAAGGTTAACGATGAAAAAAGAAACCGGAGCAATAATGTCTGTTGCACATGTCTTTGTAATATATTTTGTGTGGAGCATTAATGCCAGCTGGGATCTACAAATCTACAGCTGCGATATGTATGCTCCGGTTGCTTTTATCAATTTAAAGACTATTAGTAATTATCGTGCCTGTAGAGCATGGTTTATCTGAAAGTCAAGCGCTGAAAACTGAAAATGCAGTGCTCCCAGAAAGCCTTTAAACCCGCCTTTGGCACTGACACTCATGCAATTTGTGACTCCAAAGAAAGTCCCAGCTGTGTTTCAAAATTAAACACAGTGTGTAACGGCAGCATTGACTGTCTCAGCAAAAGTATTTACAAAGCCACTGGAAAGTTCATAGTTGCAATAGTAGCTATTTTGTTTTCACTCCAGATATGTACTGTATGAAATCAAATTGCCCTTTGTGGAACGACAGCAATGCCAGGAAATAGAAACGTTGATGTTGAGACACTGTGTACACTCCTTGGTTAAATAAGGATGTTGTCAGCTCATGAAAACAGTGGGCTGTGTGGACACTGATGCAAAGCAAGTGCACTCAGGTATTCTGCTTATATCAATCACTCTCCTGACACCATTACTGATGATTCAGTGAATTCAGTGATTCAGTGAAGATGAATGAAGTCTTACCTTCACACAGGATATTAAAAGCAGGGTGGAGTGATAGCATAGCACCCTTCGGAATAAAACAAAATACCCAACTTACATTCCAAAGCAATGTACATTAGGAAAGACATTTAATATTGCTGTTCTTGTTTAGAAGAGTGTGGTCTCGGGGCTGTACAGAGTGCTTGGTTAACTTGACCTCAACTCCAGCATCACCAACCCCAGCCCATCCGGGGAGGAAAATCAATAGTAATAATGAATGTTCCAGTCAGTGAGCACCAGGCTGGAGCAGGACAGGAGAGAGCTTTCTTCCGGAGAATGTACAGCAGCAGTGGAGTTAATATTGAAGAGGGCAGCAGCAGAAAATACCATACGCGAATGTCTGAATCTTTGGTGAAATGTAAACATTTCTCGCGCCAGCTGTTTTCAATACATTGAATACATACATTAATACATACTGCTGTGGTGTGAAGAGCCAGCAGCTCAGAACAGCAGCTCTGGCTGCATGGTCACCCAGGGCTTCCAACCCAACCAAACACATCAACTACCTGACGTGTACCAGCCCCTATCCAGCTGCCAGCCCACCTCAGTGTCATGGTCTTACTTTGTTTTCAATTCCCACACGAAAAGGAATCAAGAGAGCTGTTCGGGGAAATGAATGTCCTTCAGTAAGCTAATATTACCATCTATTGTGCACTTTGCACAGATCTGGCACTTAATTTTTAGACATTTGTCGAGATGTATTTTTACATTGGAGCTGCCACCAGTACCCTGGCATCACGTCAGGAACGTGGACTCAGGGGAGTGCAGACAGTTTAATTTGTTTCTGCAGTAGCCCCTTGCTCATACATCATGGCCAGCTCTCTCACACACAGAAAACAGTACAAGACATGCAGCAGTGACCACAGTCTGCCTGCTGTCAGCGCAAGGCAAGAGAAAGGGCTTCTAATTGTGAGCACACTATCGCTGAGCCGAGGACGATGATGCATTTCTGACCCACCACACTTGCAGTCAATCTGTTTGGGTTAGGTTACCACCTGCGTTCCTTCCACATTTACGTGTACACACTGTAATCAATGAGACTTACAATCACAGCAAGACAAGATGCAAAGGGTGTACATAACATTAGAATAAAACTGCAATGTAATGCTTGAATGAGACACACCAGTCCTTACCTACACTACTGCTATATCTGTTAAAGGTCAAAACCTTCCCATTAGAAATGGAAGATACTTGAGAGTTGCCTGAAACGGCTCCCAGGAGACTGAATTTAAGAGGGTTTCAAGAGGACATATTTATAGTTATTTGTACCATAACTGTCTGGGCCTTTTCCAGCTTCTTTTATCAACACAGCTTTAAAGTGGTTCTCTCTTAGATGTCAGTGTTTTATTAACTGGCCTTAAGGGGCTAGCGTCTCTAATTCCACTTTCAGACAGTAAAAGGTTTTTGCTGAAGGTGATCATTACACTTGGTGTTAAGAGTGTAATAGGACCACAGCCCATTCCAGCAAACTGCTTTGTTGAACCTTGTTCTGTCTGAGCACTGTAGAGTGTTACTCTCTGCTGTGTTGACTTCATTCTGCACTTAAAGTGCCTTTAGTTTGCTCTGAACCAGTGGGCAGACAGAGAGCTGGCTGCTTCCTGTGTGACAATGCCAGGAAGCCGCATCGAAGGAACTGGCTTCAGATCAAGCGGATCTGGTGCATCAAGTGATTTTAAAACAACGTCCTTTCTGAAGCACTTGTGCTGTGCAGGTTTTCTTGGGGAGAGGATGCCAGCCTCACTAAAATAAAATCTGGAGCTTCGGGACATAATACTTTCTTACAACAATTCAGTTTATGTGATTGTTCCAAAATGCTCAGTATGTGAAATTATTTCCAGCATTTATCTCTTTCTCCCTGTAATTTGTTTTGAATGTGGCTGGGTATATCTTAAAAGACCAAAGCTGCAGAAGCAGACTTTAATCCCTTATCCTGCAAAGTTAGCTCCCTGGTGTTTTTTTCCCCTGGAGGGGATATGCTGTAGAAAAAAAATTCAGCTCCCACTTCAAGAAGTTTAACTGTTTACACTCTAAATCAAAAACATATTGTGAAATAAATGCAGTAAATCAGAGTTTAGATTATAACTCTGGTTATAGAAACATTATGTTGTTCAATGTGTTCAATGAGTCTAACAATTAAAGATTGCAAACAGATCACAGTTTCTCCTTCACAAAACAGCATTATTAACATTCTAACCTTCCAAGTATTTGTCATAATTGTTTTTGGGCCATATTTTACCATTGTTTGATACAAGGTACCACAGTATGTTTTTATTAATAAATTATAAATATGAGTGTTGTGGTGCTTTACTAGTAATATGACTTTTGTGTTAGTCTTTCAGTCTTTCATAAAAGTGTTCAGAAGACACCACTGTACAAGACTATAATGGTCAGATAGCAGCACATGTACAAGAATGGCTGGGCCTTTGGTCTTCCTAATGAAATAAGCTGTAGAATGCAATGAATGAATCTGCAATGCAGAAACTACGGTTGCAATGAAAAGCTACAGCATTATTTGAATTACTTATACCTGATGACAAGCCTGCCGATGAAAATGCAGTGTTTGTTGGTCAGATGCCTCAGATGAGCAGAATACCAAGTGGGCAAAATTGACAACTGTTTGTCTATTCACATGGGACAGAAGCATTTAGTGCCAGAATTCTCCGGGTCGGAGTTCAATGTCAGAATTATCTAAGAATGAGGTGCATTTCAGCAGCTACAGTACCAATATTTCTGCTATGAAGACATTCACAAAAGAGTGCATTTTTATAGTCTGACACAAAAGGCCAGTACTATTGATAAAGTCTGTTTAGTAAGAACACCCTAGATAAGTATTGGTCTTGTCATGCCACCTTTGCACCCAGACCAAATGGAACCATTTCCATATAACCAAATGGACATTGTTTCAGTTTAAAAAGTCATTGTTGTTTTATAGCCAACATGACTTGTACTATCTCACAAAAAAAACCTTTCAGAAAGACTGTACTCAGTTGATAAAATGCTGCTCCTCTCTCAGCACAAACATACACATCAAAGACAGCCTGGCCACTTATAGGAGAAATGCAATATGTCTATGTTGTGGAATTTCAGATGAATGTTTTACACCGTTTTTCAAAGCAGTACTCTAACACATTCAGACAGGAACATAAGAATTTACACCCTGCTTAATTCATGTCAAATAATGCATTTAATATCCTTAACAACAGTAAATAATAAAAATTTTCAAAGTCAATGACATCACAGTCATTTTTTTTTCTGTGAAGAAATGGTTGATTTATGGTTGCCATTACCAACCTGGCAAAGTTCCCTGAGAAAGATGCATCTAAGGTTTTAGCAAAACAAAAAAAGAAATGAGGAGTGAAGAGAGGAAAGTTTTGATATACTGTAGGATCTCAGCAATGTCATGTTTATGGATCCCCAGGGCAAGATGAAAAAACAAAGAGAGAGTGTTGGAGAGAGAAGAGTACGACTGTGGCACGTTACTCGCCTGATCGATTGTTGGGGGATGTCCGCACTGGGGAAATCGAAGGAGTGCGCGAGGAGGAGTATGGTCTTTGTCTGTCCCGTTCAATTGTTGAAGAAGACCCAACGAAATGATACTGTGAATATCCATCCTGGAAAACAAACAAGCAAAACACAAGTGGGTCAGAGATGTTCGCTGACCGGGTTTCAGTGGCTTTACAAAATCTGAGGCAGTGAAAAGACACTGCACATACTCATAATGAAAAGACACTGCACATACTCATAAGAAGAGATGCGCAGATGACTCGTGTTTTGAATACCCCCAGATATACACCGCTCACTCGATCACTCAATCCAGATGTTGCATGTTACAGGCTGGGTCATGTCATTTTACTTTTAAATGGATCTCTAAAATTTTAGTTAACTAAATTAAATATAAAATACCACAACTGTACAACATAACTTGTAGAATCAATTCAATTCCAGCTTCCATCTTCAAGTGGAGGTGCTGGCATGCATAGTTATGATCAGTGGAATTTTACCTGGAACTGATGCACACTGGTAGGATACAGCATGTTACAAGCACATGTGTATTTCTATTGTGTGTATAAACAGGGCACAGTCTCATTTTCTGGTGAGGCTGAATAAAAAAAACAGGCATCAGTCTCATAAGAAGCTATTACTTCAAATGCTTTTAATACTTATCTTTCATCTGGAGGGGGTGAACAGACAATCAAGGTAATAGCCTGCAGGTGCCTACCCTGCCAATTCCAGTTATACAGAAGGAACATTTATTGCTCATTTGTACAAACAATAACAATAACAATCTGAGTGTTTAATCTCCATCTGCTGAGAAAGACCTAAGATGCAAATACGTGAACTCAATTTCTTTTGCTGAATGGGAAATCTCTTGAAAACATTTCATCCCTAATACTACATGCTACAAGCACAACTGTGCACTAAAAATCAAAACCCAAAACTCAGATAGTCATCAAAAAAATAAATAACCAGCACCTGAGTGACATGGCTTGAAGCTCAATTCTTAATATTTGACTTTTCTTCTCTGGTCTCAGTAAAAAAAAAAAGGAAACTGGAAATAAAAACAGAACTGATTAGAACTTTATAATTATTTTGAAAGGTTTCAACTCATAGAGCGTCCTCCTGTTGCAAAGATTGGAGGAGATAAAACATGCACAGGCTCCAGAAACTCATATACACCATCCTCTGCCAAATGGCCAAATTCAAGCTGAATTGAATGAAACAGAAATATACTTCAATAGAATGTGCATCAATGACCATCATTTATTTGAAGGCAAATGGTGCTCTTATAAGAGAATAAATATAACAATATACTGTTTTCTGTTTATTTTTCTATAGTTCATGGGCTAGCTGTAGAAACTGTAGATGACAGCTTTTAGTTATAAGCAAAAGGAAAACACATCTATCTACTATCGAGCGACCAACAGTTGGAAGCTTGAAGTGTGATGCAAAACCCAAGTCGGTGTTCGTCGAGACACTTCGTAATATATTCAACCATTTTTCCCATAATGAAATGTTTTTAAAAAGGCTCAACACTTAAGAAATCATGTTGAATGAAATTAGCTAGACGGATTAGTATCCAACCTCAAAAGTCCAATGCTCACATGGGAAGGTGACAATAACGGGAAACATGAGAAAGTAAGAAAGGTTACAAACACGAGGATTCCAGTCTGCCCATCAAGCCCAAGTGGTACAGTAGGTACTGTAGTAGCTAAGCAATCCAAGGATCTTATTCATCTCTGTCTCGAAGGAAGCCATAGTTTCAGCTTCAACAACATGGTTGGGTAGTTTGTTCCATAAAAACACAACCCTTTGTTACAAAACAGTTGGCTCCTGTTCTTGGGTTTAAATGTACTTCCATAAATGCTTTTCCAAAAAACAGGTATGAAAATTGTTGGGCTGGGTCAAGGCAGAGAGTAAACTTAAACCTGCATGAAAACCAATCTTTTAAAATGTATGACGGCTTCTATCTCTTCCCTACAAAGTTGAAGTTGTAATTTGTTTTTCACCTAACAAAATCCATTGTGGAAAGACAATATAAACACAAAATAATTACTGCTTACATTAACAAGATGATTGACAGCAAAAGCAATTCTGAAAGCCAGTTGCAAAGGGAAAGAAACAGCGAGGTTCTTCAAGCAAGTCGTCTGACGCTGGGTGACAGCAGCGTTGATTGGATGCACAGATGGAAAAACAATCGAAATACTGAGCAAATGACAGATTCAAAACAACTGAGTAAAGAATTAAAATCCAAATCTGTGCTTCAGGGCCACAGTGAAATAAACAAACTGATATTCTTGAGCATCTGGAAAATGGTAAAGAAGCCAAGAATACTGTATGTTTTAACAGTATCCTTAGAAAATCCCAATTGAAACACAAAAACAATTTCACTTTGGCATAATAAAGTCTTTGTGGGCCAGATTTTGTTTCTATCTGAAAGGTTACAAGTTTTTTACAAAACCCAGCTTGCAAGGTAGGACTGCGGTTCTTCTACAACCGTTAAGCTTGTAACAGATAATTACTTTCGGCAAGTATCTACAACCCCCGCTCCCAGGTGGGGAAAGGCAGCTAACTAGTTTAATTCTTTTTCAAAAGAAAGAACATTGGAAATACACTAGCCTGCCACAGCTAATGTCCACGATGTTAACGAGCTGGGGAGCAGTCGCTGTCCTGCTTTGCAGTGCTGCTTTAGCTTTAGGCAGTCTACTTGAGGAGTAACCCAACAGGAGACCTTCACTTCTCACGACTACAGGGTCTGTGTACAAAGCAGCTCCTTAACTGCTAAACATAACAGTTAATTCAATTACAGAATCACAGAGTTCAGTTCTTACACCTGTGGATGGGCAGGTCTAGCACATTACTCCCTATGGCCTGTGCTTTGGTTTTCACACTGCGGATTCCTAGTGCAGTTCATTCCTGTTTCATATTCTGCATTGATTTTAAGACACAACAAGGTTCAGCTAACACTGTGAAGCCAACCTGAGAGAAATCTCAGTGTGAGGTGGAGTGATCCTGTACATACAGTGGTAGAGAAGAACAAGAAGGGTAAATAATTCACCTCTGGGTTTATTCTCAGGCGAATTTAGATACAATTTTTTTTCACTCGTTTACTGCTGAGGTGAAGACCATGTCATTGGTTTCTGGTAGTGTTTTGTTTTGTATTTATCTTATATTTACTCTGAGGTGCAATAAGGACATCTGAGGTACAAAATGTTACATAACAGAGAGAACAGAAATATGACATCAGAAGACCATATCATTCACTAATCAAAACACTCTGTAGAGATAGGAATACTTTTGAGATATAAAATCATCAGCAGCATGTTCAGAAAACTGCAAAGATGGACATTCTGGAGAGTCTTTTCAAACAGTTGGAAATATGGAGCAATGTAACTCAAAAGTCTCATTCCTTACTCAAGTTCAGAAAAGATTGAAGCGTCAGTCTATGTGACTTGTGGACTGAGATGAAGAATTAGGAAACAGAGGACTCGGAATTTACCCAGAGCATTTTACACACAATCACAATGATGGGAGCACTTGCAAACCTTACCAACAAAGGAAACACAATGTATAAAGCATTAAATGTAAAGTCTTGATTTCCATTTCAAAACAAGCACTTTAACCTGAATGAAATGGTTACCCTTTTCTGTGGAGTTCAGACATCTCTTACACCTCGTCTTTACTCAGAAGGCTGCACATGTGCTTCAGAACCAAAAGGACCATGTTAAAATCTGCAAGGAGCCAGGAGGTGGCACAGGCTGACAGACAAGAGCATCAGAAAGAGAAGACAGGCCCATTTCTTGAAAGACCAAGGCTAATCATTTCCCGAGCAGCTTGCTTCCAGCTTCAATTGCAAATCCAATCTCATTATTGCAAAGGAAGCACTAAAGAGAAACTGGAGTAACTGGAGTAACTGGTATGGCTGCAGCTTCCTACACGTGAGAATCCACATCAAAGGGTGTGTGCGCTCACCCACAAAGAGCCCCAGCTGCGCCTGGGTCACTGTCAGACAGAGACTGGTATTGCTTTAGGTGCTGAGGGCAGAGTGGGGTTAGTCAGCCGGGGCACAGCGCCCCCTGTGGCCTCCCAGGCACATGCAGGCTTGTGGGGCTGGTGCTGACGGATGGGCCTCTGCACCAGTGAGCACGGAGTCTCCAGTAGGGAAGGAGTCTGTCGCCAGACACAGGGTCCGTGGCTGTGGGCTGAGTCATGACAGAGGCACTTCTGGAGATTCCAAAGCAGGTGGGTATATATTAAATAATAGCTATCAATTTGTAATTAAAAAAAAACAGAAGATAAAAGCATGTTCTGATAGTGCCTCATTATCACGTTGATACAAAATAAAACACAAACTATAACTTTCCATTTTCTTTGTAGCTGGTAAGAAAATAAGAAACCTGCACAATGTTTTCTGTAGTTATTTCTACAGTGTCAATGAGACATCTGTGATTATTGTAGGTAATTGAACTTTAGCTAAACAATAGGTCATGAACAGAAAAAACACTCCAATTTATCCAGCACAATGACTTCGTAGAGCAACTTTGGAGGTTCTTTCATGAACCACATAGTTTGGCCTGAAATGATTTATTTTCATAATACATTTTTCATTTGGTAAAATTCATCATTAATCTTACAGTAGCAAATGTTTCCTCTGTTTTTTTCACATACAGTGATAGTTCTTTGTGAAATGTGAAATGATTCAGAGCTTTTTCAAATGAAAACACTCGCATTTCAATATGAACTGTCAGTGCGATTCGCAGTACGAGACGTGTGTGCATAAGCAACATATACTCATATACAGCACAGCAAACTCATGAATAAATGTTGCACAGATGATGCAGTCATGTTCTTAAACAAAGTTGAAAGTAATGTGAATCATAAACTTCCAACAGCAAAAATAGCTCAAAAAAGATCTTCGAGGCTTTTTTAGAAAGTGCTAGAAAGGTACACATCACAAAAGGCAGTGCCATAACTTCCAGCTCAGAAAGAATCAGAGGTTCTGGAAGGCAGCACGGACCTCCCATCAGCTTGAAACCACCTTGTTTAGGCAAAGGCAGCTGGGACCTAGAAGGTTCTGATAACTCCCTGGCCTTATCGATGTGATGGAAGATAT